ATTTAAACTTAAAAAAATCGATCAGATGCACTATTTACAAAGAAAAATGTACACATATTATTACATTTTAAAATAACTATATTTTAATTATATTAAGAATTATGATTAGACAAAAGTATAGCTAATTATTTATACTAATTTATTATTATAAAATGTATTACCATTAAATATTTTTAACTTATTTAAAGAGAATGTTCATTAATGTTTTTAAAGTTTAGTGTATTTTATTTTATTGTTTGTCAACATTTTTCAAATTAAATAGAGCTATTTATACTCCTCTGTCACAGTGTGTTTGTGTATTGATGCTTTGGCAATACAGTAGCCTATGTACAATGTACATTGAGAATTAAGCGAGAGAGAGAGAGAGAATGTGTCACTGTTACCTTAATATTTAAATTTTTATAATTTAATAATTTAATTTAAATTTATAATTTATGCATTTAGCAGATGCTTTTATCCAAAGCGACTTACAGTGCATTCAGGCTATATATATTTTTTTACCGGTATGTTTTTAAAAAAGCAATTTTAAAATGTTTATTTTAAAATAATTATATTTTAATTATATTAAGGATAATCACTATTATTATGCATTGTATTGTTATAGAAAAGATTAAAGTTATCAAATCATAAAATTATTTAAAAATATATATTCTAACTATATTAAGAAGAACTATTGGAGAAAGAATAATTATATTATATTTATTTATTATCACATTTATTTTAATACAAATATTATTTAACTCATTAAAAGAAAATGTGCATTAATGTCTTGTTTAATTGTTTGTCTATTTTTTTATTAAATATTTTGTTATTCATATTTTCATTATCATTACTTCTACTTAATGTGTTGGTGTTTTGACAACATAGTATGCACAGTATTAAATGTACATTGAGAAGTGAGCAAGGGAAAGAATAATAATGTGTCAGAGTTATTTAACGGAAGTAGTTTTAGGAAGCACATCTGGACGGACAGACGGGTCGAGCGCAGAGAAGAGGAAGTTTCTTGGATGAAAATAGCCGTCTTGTGAAAATCCCCTTCCTGTCTTTTGCCAGCTTGTTAGTCACGAACTCCTGGAGGATGACTAACAATAACCAGAGAGCAGTAGTATGCAAACCAGTGACCTTTAGTTTCCTCCGTCTGTGTCTCAGAGTCCGACAAGATCAGATTTAACACGAGCTCCAGACCTGTCAAAATACATGTTGAATTGTTTTTTTTTAATGCAATATTTACTTGCAGATAAGTTACACAATGAACATACAGTAACTGCAATAAGAGGTGTTGGGTAACCACGGGTGATTGACAGGCCGGATGGGAAGAGCAGGAAGTGACGTAAGCATGTGTGTGCGTGTACATGTGTCAGAAACAGAAAGTGTGCTAGATCTGTCAAGTAATATAAAAACAGGTCTACGTGTGAAGTGTCATGTGTCAACACTTAGCCACGATAAAAAAAAATGGAGTTATTTTTCCAGTAATTTTGTTACGAAGGCGTTTTAGTGCCATGTTTCGTGCCAAGATTACGTGATTAAACTCATAATATTTTGAGAAAAAAAGGTCAAAGCATACTGCCCCTGAGAGTATATGACACGTGGGATTTCTGCTAATAATCCCACATATATTCAAATCACAAAATATATATTTTTTTATGAATGCAAACATCACAAAGATGACATTAAAGATATACAACTTTGTATAGACTACACAACATTTATCAACAATATGTACAATGTCATCTGAACATACAGAACAAAAGAAAAGAAAAAGATAAAGAAAAAATTAAAATTGGAAGAAAGGGAAAAAAACAAAAACATGAGGGTAAGATATTAATTTATATTTCAATCCCAAAATATTATAACTTTAATCTCGTAATTGATACGACGTAATCCTCGTAATTTTGACTTTATTCTCAAAATATTTCGACTTTATTCTCCTAATTTTGACTTTGACTTTTCTCAAATGTTACGACTTTTAATCTCCTAATCTTATATTTATTATTATTTTGGATTTTTTTTTTACGTGGCACTAAAACGCCATCATATGTCAAGTGCTGCTTATATGGGATTTACACATTTATATGGGATCGGTCTGCAAAGAAAATAATTATTCTAAAAATTTAAATGTTCTAAAAACACATTTGTGTCAGACAAGACAAGTATGAATAATTAATTATCCACAATGTTAGACGCATTTTGAGATTTCCACCATTATAATGATGATTTGTTTTGTACTTTCCCGTCTGAAAAACAGCCAAAACCAGCCTAAGCTGGTTGGCTGGTTTATCTCATCCAGCCTTTGGTTTGCAGGCTGGTTTTAGAGGGGTTTTGGCCACTTCTTTAGCTGGTCAGACTGGGAGACCAGCTATAGCCAGTTACTTCCAGCTTAAACCTGCTAAGCCTGCCAACCAGCTTTGGCTGGTTTTAGCTGTTTTTTTGTTTTGTTTTTGTTTTTTGTTTTTTTTCCTGCAGGGTTAGCACTGACTGTAATATTAAACACATAATTATAATTCATTTTATAGACAATTTTAATTGTCTCCCAGATTTCTTCCACTTGCTGATGACAAGGAATGCATAATTAAGCATAAATAACACTTTGTCATTACATTATTTAAGGACTATAATAGTGTTTTTGTAGTTTCTGAAATACCTCTCCCAGACCCGGTTGACACGAATGTAGGCAGAACATTTTTTTAAATCTACATTGAAAAATAACAGAAATATTCGCTTTCTTTTTCTTAATGATTATGTTTCCATTCCTCATGCTGTTTCAGAATGGACAGATTAGTGGAAAATATTTCCTAACAAGTATCCATTGGTAAATAAGGTTAAAGAGATTCTTTTCTTCCAAGCTACTATCCTGTTAAAACCTTTAATTCTGTCAAACAGAAACTGCATCGGCGAGACATTTGCCAGTTCATTGTAAACTTCATAATAACTTTGAGCTTTGCTTTAAAACTTTAAATGTATGCTCACTTTTTGCTGTTTTTGTATAATTTTCATGTTTTGTAAGAAAGATTGTTGTTTATTTTTATGTGATCTGTTTAATTTTTTGCATTTATTTATTTATATATTTATTTATTTTTAATGTATTTGTTTTTTGTTGTTATTTTATTATTATTTATTTATTTATTTATTTATTCTCTCTCTCTCTTATGGAGGACGAAACCTGCAAAAACAATAAATAAATAACTACACAAATAAATAAATTAATATTCAAATAAATAAATAAATGTGTGTATAAATACACAAATTCTTGTTTAAATACATATAGAAATAATTAAAC